CCAAAAAAAAAAAAAAAAAAAAAGAGCTGAAATGTAACAGGCGACAAAAAAGAATAAGCTCTCCACTACAGAAAGGGTTCCCGGAAAAATGGGTTGCCAATTTGCCAAGAAATGCAGGCCTTTTATAGATGAGCTAGTAGGGAGGCAGTCTCATCTACATGGGGTGTGAAAAACCAGTTAGGACCAGGTGTGCCATCTGCATAGGGCAGAAATCTCTAGCAGCCTCCACCCCAATCTTTTATTATGCAGATGGTTCTCTGCCTGAGCCTTTCCATTTTGCCCATTTCTTTCTTACTGTACACGTGCTAACAAAAAAGGGAAGATGGAGCTTCCATAGTGGACATGCCTGGCTCCCAGGTAGCCCTTTTCTATGGGCACAGCTGCCGGCATCCCCCCCCACCCCCGACTTCCACCCTACGCGCCCTCGTGTGCAGGCTTCCAGCTTCCTGATCTATCTTTGCAAGGTTTGCAGCCTTTCAGGCTGCTCTTTGTTAGGGGAAAAAAAAAAAGATTTCTTAGGCTGCTTTTTGTTAGAAGTTCCGCTGAAGTTTTGCCTTATCTGCCTAAATTTCTTTCTATCTCCTGAATCATCAATATCAATCAGCAATGGAGAGCATAAGTTCTCAAAATTATAATTTATTTAAATTGTCTACAATGCCACAAGAAAGTCAAATCTTCTAGAGCTCTTTTTTCCTTTCCTTTTCTTTTTTCTTTTTCTCTGAGACAGAGTCTGGCTCTGTCCTCCAGGCAGGAGTGCAGTGGCACGATGTCGGCTTACTGCAGATTCTGCCTCCTGGGCTCAAGCGATTCTCCTGCCTCAGCCTCCCAGGTAGCTGGGATTACAGGTGGACGCCACCATACCCGGCTAATTTTTGTATTTTTAGTAGGGACAGGGTTTCGCCATATTGGCCAGGCTGGTCTCGGACTCCTGACCTCAGGTGATCCGCCCACCTCGGCCTCCCAAAGTGCTCCGATTACAGGCGTGAACCACCGCGCCCGGCCTAGAGCCCATTTCCACAGGAAACAAGAAATTAGAGGAAGTAAGCACATAAGGATCAAGGATTTTATCTGTTATATAGCAAATTATTATATCCTGATGATTGTGATTTTAAGTTTTAATATTCTATGTGTAATGGTTTACTACAAAATAAACAACATATACTCGTTTAAAACTTTAAAGAGCACCATTCTCTGACGGGCAGGATTAGCTGCGCGCACCCAGTCCTTAGTTAAGGGAGGTCGGGTTTCCCACGAAGGCAACTTCAATCTTTTGCACGTGATTGATTCACCAGGTGCGTAAAAGTTAACATGTTTAGACACATGAAGACCACCGTCGCTTCCGACGGCTTTAATGAGCATATTTTAACACATTTGTAAGTAAAGTTCATTACTGGAAAATAGGAGTCTTCTTTTCATCGCAGCAAACAAGTCCTTTCACAATATTGGTCCTAGGCCGAATAAACCCTCAAACGCTGACACTGCTCTGAGAGATGCGCTGAAACGAGAGGACTAAGAACCAGCGAGGAAGTGGAGACGCGGGAAGGCAAAGGGGGAGCTCTCGGGTGTGTGCCCGTTCCCAGAGCGGTCTCTTTCTCCGCACCGCTTAGGTTCAGCGGGTACTGACACAAGTCTAAGTGTGAGCAAGCTCGCGTCCTGGACAGCCTCGCAGGTGCGGGGAGGCGCCCAGGTGGGCTGTCTCTGAGTGTGAGCAAGCCCGCGTCCTGGACAGCCGCGCAGGTGCGGGGAGGCGCCCAGGTGGGCTGTCTCTGAGTGTGAGCAAGCCCGAGTCCTGGACAGCCGCGCAGGTGCGGGGAGGCGCCCAGGTGGGCTGTCTCTGAGTGTGAGCAAGCCCGAGTCCTGGATAGGCGCGCAGGTGCGGGGAGGCGCCCAGGTGGGCTGTCCCAGGCCAGATTCCCAGGAAAGCTCTCGGGGGAGCGTCCGGAGTGACGAGGGACCCACCGGGACCCCACCAGGGGCCCCAGCCGAGCGCGCGCCGCCGAGGGTGGGGGTGGGGCCAGCGCCCCGGCCACCCGGTTACCCGGCAACAGGATGCCCGGCGCGGGGCGGCGGAGCGGGTGCGTGCGGTGGCGGTTGCGAGAGAGACCCTGAGCCGCGGCGATGAGCCCGGGTAAGAGTTGGGCGGGGCCGGGCTCCTGGGGAAGCCGCGGGAACCGAGGGCAACGGAAGAGCTTTCAGCGGGCGGCTCCCTGCACCCCAAGCCCGGGACTTCTCGGGTCTGCCCTTTCGCAATCACCACACATCTCCAGCTCTGCCCTAGGGCGGAGCACCCGCTGCGGCCGCCGCGCCCGTTGTGCTTCCCGGCTAGCTGCGCCATCTGCCGCCGCTTCCCGCCCGGCGCACCCTCGGGTGGCCGCTTGCTGAAAGCGCCGCGCCCCGCCCCCGGCCCGGCCTGGCTCCGTCCCTCCGCCCCTTCCCTCTGCCCCGCCCCCGCCTGCAGCCCTGACCCCGCCCTATCGCTCCGCCCCCTCCAGCCTTCAGCCCCGCCCCGTCTTAGTATCCTCCGCCCCGTCCCAGCCTTCACTCCCGCCCCTGGCCCATCATCCACCCCACCTCATTCCTCTGCCCCCGCCCCATCCCAGCCCTCAGCCACGCCCCCTCCTTCAGCCTCGCCTCATCCTAATCACTCCGCCCCGCCCCAGCCCTCAGCCCCGCCCCAGCCCTCAGCCCCGCCCCAACCCTCCTCCCCCAGCACCGCCTCGCCGCGTCCCGCGACCCAGCTGACCGGCGCCGTTCTGTTACAGAAAAGCAGCCTCAGGAAGAGAATGAAGTTGACTCCGTTCTCCTTTCAGCGTCCAAGATCCTAAATTCCGCGGAGGGGGTGAAGGAAAGTGTCGGCAGTGACACAGGTAAAATCGCCAGTTCTTAAAAGGCTGCTCTAACGGCACCCGGGCAGCAGCCCCGGCGTGCGCCCCCTGGCGGGCTTCCCACTGACAGCAGCCACCGCGGCACACGCGCCCTGTGCCAGTGCTGTTCTAAGCACGTGACGGGCCAACGCTTTCATTCTCACAACACGTGTACCAAGTAGGTGCTATCACCATCCCCATTTTGCAGGTGAGGAAACGGGCACAGAGAGATTAACTCCCTAAGGTCACACAGGCAGCAAGGAACGGAGCGGGCATTCGGCAGGGCGGCTCCGGGCTCCCTGTCTTCACCACCGCGCCATGCTACGCTGCTTTTCTGAACGCCAAGTTAGAACTGTGGCGTTTTTTGGACAGACACGAAAATGATATGCAGTCAGCCCTCGGTATCTGGGAGTTCCGCATCCTTGGATTAAAACAACCACAGATGGAAAATATTCAGGGGGAAAAATTAAAAGTAACAGTACCACAATTTTTTAAATGCAAATTTTGAAACAGTGTCACAACTATTTAATAGCGTTTACATTGTATAAAGTATTACAGGTAATTGAGAGATGATTTAAAGTATACAGCAGGATGTGCATAGAACCTATGCAAATAATACCCAATTTTGTACTAGGGACTTAAGCATCTGCAGATTTTGCTATCGTCAGAGGCTCTGGAACCAATCCCTTGTGGATATCCAGGGAGGTGTGTATACCTTTTCTAAAGAACTACTTTTTACAGTATTTGTGGACTATTGTATGGGGAGAATGTTTGAAATAGCCACATAGCTAAAGCTTTCCAGTTCTACATAAACAATGAATAAGATGGGGATACCCAGCTAGGCGACTCTAAGGACATTGAAAGTGGAGTCTCACCTCCTGGAGAGAAGCCCTAGGCGACTACGCGCCTCTCAGAGAAGCCAGCTGTGAGGTGACATGCTGAGGAAGGAGCAGAGCACAGGGCAGAAGTGTCTAGACTGATGGGCCACGCACTGACCCCCAGTTGCCCCTCTGTAGGATATGGGTTATCCTGATGCCATAGTGCTGAACCACAAGAGGCCTGAGGTTGGGACAGGATTTCTGCACCTCCACCATCCAAGATCTTCACCAAAAGCCTGTAGGGACCTGGAAAGAAGAGACTAGAGCAGCCACAACTCCGTAGACAGAAGACATGTGGATGCCCAGGCACCCCCAGGATAAGCAACATCCCAGTGGAGGCCAGCAGGACAGGCACCAGCCAGTCCCCTCTCTGCCCTCCTGTCCCCATCCATGAGATCTGCAGGTTTCCAACCAGAAGGGGCAAAGGCAGCTCCTGAACGCGAAAGAAAGAGTCCTCACAGAGAGTTGAGACATTTAGGCAGCTCCATATTTCCCTCAAAGAGAGCATGTAAGATCAGAAGAAATGAAAGTACCTTAGTTTAGCAAGATCATATGTTTTCTAACATAAATGAGACTTTGGGTTCTGGAGAAACATGCCAACGTTTATAGAAAATAGTTACATGCAGAATAGCACACGTACTGAAGAGTTAATGTCTTTCTTGCCAGAACACAGTGGTTACAGGTGTGGGCTTGACGCAGGACAGGTTCTCAATAAACACCAGTTGTTAGGGGCCACCCAGCAATTCCCTGCCCACAACTACAGGCAAAATTAGGAGGTATGGCTGGCGCCTTCCCTCTATTTTCTTATCTATGCTTCATTGTCACCAAGTGATCCATTCCCCAAAATAATGACCTGATTTGCATAACTACTGCCAGGTTACAAAGAGTTTTAGAATATTCCCACCGTCTCTATGGTTTCAGAACCAGTAGTTAACCTAATTAACCTTTACTGGAATGGGTTCGTGTGAGACTTTTGCATTTTTGTGAGGTTTGTGAGGATGTCCAGGGTGTTGTTCCCAGCACCCTGTTCTACCCGAGCCTTCATTCATTCCTTCGTTTTGTAGGGAACCAGCTCCCACATCACCCATGGGTACCCCAAGTTCAATGGCGACAAAGGAATGAGAAAAAGACAGATTAAGAATGCAAAAAGTGGGACCAGGGGGCCACCACTTGCACTGGGGGCAATGAAGGCCTTGAGCTCTGATTTCCCACAGTATTTATTGGTTACAATCGCTTCGATCTGCAGGGTAGGCGGTGGAGTGATCGTGGGGAGAGGCTGTTGTGATGGTGGGGTGAATCAGTGAGCCGGAAGTGCATCAGTGGCTGGAACTGGTGTGTCATTCTAAAGATTGGTAACAGTGGCCGTTTGGGAGTTTCACAAATCAAGAACATGTGGCTACCTTCAGCCTATTGTCTATGTGCGGCTGGTGGAACGCGGGCCTTACAAGGAGCCTACAAGTCTGGTTACATCCTTAGTGCTACGAAGGGGTTTTACGTCTTGAGCTCAATGTCTATGGTAACAGAGCCGGGGTCGCCCTGCACAGGAACATGAGGCATGGAGTTTGCCTCCTCAGAGGCCTCCCGCAGTTTGCCATGGTTTGTTATTCCCAGTTTGTATGTTACTCATAACCAATTTATGTAGGCCCTCTGTAAGCCCTTTCTCCTTTGCTGCTTCCCCCAACACATTTGTGGAACATATTCTTTTGAGCACCTGCTAGGTTTCAAGTGCTGTTCTAGGGGCCCAACAGTGAACAAGACGTGCAAGATTCCCTGCCCACGTGGAGCTTACCTTCTAGTGAGGGAACAGACAGACAAAGGTTATTGTGTGTAAGCGGGGAATAAATCCTATGGAGAAAATAAGGCTGAGAAGAAGCAGAGGAATATTTGGAGTGGCAGAGGTGGGTGGGAAGTGTGTAATTTTAAACAGGGGGGTGGGAGAAGGCCTCACGCAGCAGGTCACATCTGAGCCAAGACCAGAAGGAGGTAAAGAAGCAATCAGTGGCCAGGCATGGTCACTCATCCCTGTAATCCCAGCACTTTGGGAGGCCAAGGCAGGCAGGTCATGAGGTCAGGAGATGGAGACCATCCTGACCAACATGGTGAAACCCTATCTCTACTAAAAATACAAAAATTAACTGGGCGTGGTGACGCATGCCTGTAGTGTCAGCTACTTGGGAGGCTGAGGCAGGAGAATAGCTTGAACCAGGGAGTCAGAAGTTGCGGTGAGCTGAGATCACGCCACTGCACTCCAGCCTGGTGACAGAGTGAGACTCTGTCTAAAAAAAAAAAACAGCCGGGCGCGGTGGCTCACGCCTGTAATCCCAGCACTTTGGGAGGCCGAGGCGGGTGGATCACAAGGTCAAGAGATCGAGACCATCCTGGTCAACATGGTGAAACCCCGTCTCTACTAAAAATACAAAAAAATTAGCTGGGCATGGTGGCGCGTGTCTGTAGTCCCAGCTACTCAGGAGGCTGAGGCAGGAGAATTGCCTGAACTCAGGAGGCGGAGGTTGTGGTGAGCCGAGATCGTGCCATTGCACTCCAGCCTGGGTAACAAGAGCGAAACTCCGTCTCAAAAAAAAAAAAAAAAAAACCATCAGTGCAGATTCCTAGGGAAAGAGCATTGCAGGCAGAGAGAATGGCAGCTGCAAAGACCCTGGCATGGGGGCGTGGCTGGTGTGATTGAGAAACAGCTCTTGTAAATGGAGCAGAGCAAGCAGGGAAGCGTAGGAGGGAGGAGCCAGGAGGAGGCTTTGTAGTTCCAGGGATGAATTTGAGATTTCTTCTGAGAAAACTGAGAAGCACTGGAGAATTTTGAGAAGGCGTCTCTCCCCTCCATCTTGACTAGAAATTTTGAATTTACCAAATTATCGTCATATCGCCTCTGCAGTCATGAGTTGGTGTCTCTTGAGCGTTCACTAGGGCCGTATACCCCCACATGGGCTTTACCTACAAACTGGACACTTGCCTAGAGTTATCGCCTCACTGTGAGTGTGTGGTAAAGCTAGGATTCAAATCTGGGCAGCAGGCAACCTGCTCTGTGGCTCCTTGCATAACGACTGTGACAAAGCCTCATGCAGAGGGTGCCACACCTCACAAGGCTTTGTAAGACAGGGACATCTGGGAATGAACTTGAATTGTCATAGCAGAACTCAGTATTAGAACCTGTGGCCAGGCACGGTGGCTCACACCTGTAATCCCACATTTTGGGAGGCCAAGGCAGGGGGATCACCTGAGGTCAGGAGTTTGAGACCAGCCTGGCCAACATGGTGAGACCATGTTTCTACTAAAAATACAAAAATTAGCTGGGCATGGTGGTGCATGCCTGTAGTCCCAGCTACTCAGGAAGATGATGCAGGAGAACACTTGAACCTGGGAGGCAGAAGTTGCAATGAGAAGAACCAAAGAATGACAAAGAGAACCTGGAATCCTATATAGAATCGTTGCATTTGCAGAAATTTGTTCCTCTTGCTCTCTTTGTTGCGAGTATGCAGATGTTAGTTTTTGTGTACATTGCATACAATATTTTTTGCGGGCTCAGAATAAGAATTACCTCAAAAGTCATCCCATTGATAACTCTTGTTTTTCACGTTTGACACAAATATGAAGCCGCTGGAAAACTTAAGTTGAATGTAAGATGAGTACTATTCCTTACATTCCCGACAAACTCTAATCTTGGTGGGTGGGAACCTGTCTTCCGCTTTGTTTATATACCTCCCAGTATTGTACATCTAGCAGGGACTTGGTAAATGGTGAACTGTGTGTTTTATCTCCTGGGTTCTTTGACATTTTCCCTTCCAATTCTAGAATCACATAATTCTGTGTGACTACATTTTGCTGAGTTTCAAAATTACCTTTCCTTTGGGAATTAAGGAGCAGCTGATGTCTCTGAAACTCATAAGAAAAACAGAAAGTTATGTAGCTTTTAAAAATAGATGACTCCAACTCCCTGCCTACTTTCTGCCTGCACAGAATCATTTGAACATTGCTGGAGAAAAACACTCACTTTTGAGTCATACCATGAATCTAAAATGAGCCCTCAGTGCTATTGGGAAAACTTACTTTATTTCCACAGCAAATTCTTTTTCAAATCCTCTGCAAGGAAGTGATTTCACTCTTCCTGTTCTCAAGTCTTGAACACCTTTCTCCCTGGCCTCTCCAGTCATAACACGGTCCCCCACTATGTGAAAAAATTAGAAGTAGTCAGACCCAAACTTCTTTATTCTCAACCTTCACATTTGTGAAACCACGTGCCTGGGTACCCACATTCTAAGCCTTCTCCTATTTCAACAGAAGAATTGTCCTTCATCAATCAAATGTTATTTCCTTTGGATCTCATCTCTTCTGGAATTCTCAAGTACCCAGCTTCTGTAATTAGCCTCCCTCATTGTCCAGAATCATTGCTTTTCTCCCTTTCTGCTATGTGATTCCAGCGGCAAACAAGCATGTTAGACTGTCCTGTGGTTTAAAAAAAAAAAAAAAAAAATCCTTCTCTTAGCCAGGCGTGGTGGCACACGCCTGTGGTCCCTGCTACTCTGGAGGCTGATGTGGGAGTGCGACCAGGTTTTGGGGTGCTGGGGAGGCACAGCTCCCCAGAGAGGATGTTATAGGTTCTTGGTCTCCCACTCTCAAGAGTAAGAGGGGACCACGGCACACTGCACCCGTAAAGTAAATACCAGACCAAAAAAGAGTTTGCAGAAAGGGATTTATTTAGGTAGAGAAAGAGAAAAAGGAGAAGGGAGAAAACTGAGAGAGAGAAAGAGCATGGAAGGGGGTCCAAACATGGAGTCCAAAGGGCTGTGGAGGAAAGGGGCTTTTAACCCGGGAGGAATTCCTCCCTCTCCAAGCCCCCTGGCCAATGAAAGGAGTTCCTTAGAACTTCCGCTGGAGTGATTGACTTTTGACCCTTTCCCACGCACGCAAAAATTAAAACAGAGACCGTTAAATCTCCCGGATGGAGAGCCATGCGAGTGGGGCATGGCGCCGGAAGTTCTTGCCCTTAAAACTACGCCCCCTTGTGGGCCGGGGAAGAGAACACATTCCCTCAGGAGGATCGCTTGGGCCTGGGAGGTGGAGGTTGCAGTGAGCCAAGATCATGCCACTGCACTCCAGCCTGGGCAACAGAGTGAGACCCCATCTCAAAAAAAGAAATAACAATCCCTCTTGACCGTCACATCTCTTCCAGGATGCACCCTCGTCCCTTCCACAGTAAAACTAGAAGGAGCTACCTGTCCTCTATGCCCACCAAGCTCCACATTCCATTCTCTCCTCAGGCACTCCCTTCCAGCTTCTCTGTATGCCCTCCACATGGCCGGCAGTGACATCCATGTTGAATGATGTGTCGATGGCTGCTCCCATGAGCCATACACTGGTAGACCCACCTCACTGTTGGATATCTCTCCTTCGATGTTGAATAGACAACCTAGCCTTAATGTATCTAAAAATGCTTTTCTCCTAAAGCATGTTCCTACTCTGTTTTCCCTCAGAAAATTGTATCTCCATTCATCCATCTGCTCTCACCAATCAACCAGAAGTCATCCTTCATTCTTCTCTCCTGGCCCCAGCTAACCCTCCCGCAATGCTGCTGGCCTCATCTCCAAAGTATATTCTGAATCCACCTGCTTTTCTCCATCTCCCCCACCACCATTCTAGCCCAAGACACCGTCATCTCCACTTGCATTATTGCAATAGCCCTGCAATTGCCTTCTCACCCCCGCCCCGTAATCCGTTATCATGTAGCAGAGTAACTCGTAAACTTTTCAATGAGATCAAATCATTCTCATGAGGGAAACCTTCCAGTGTTCCCTATTTCATTTAAAGGAAAAGCTAACCTGCTCAGCTTGGCCTGGAGGCCCTGCTTAGTCTATCCCCTGTCTCCTGCTCCGATGTCTCCCCACCTTGTGCCCCTGTGAGTTCATTAAGCTGCTTAGTAACAGTGCAATCACGCTGTGGCCCAAAAAGGAAGAAGAGATGGAAGATGAAACATATATGTAGACAACGTGTATAAATCCCATTGCTTTCTTTAAAATCTTTTATTTACTGTATCCCTCTATCAAGTCTGTACATTTCTTTTGGTCCCATATGATTTGGTTTTAGCTAAAGGAATCCTACATTTAGCTTTGAACTTGCAAATCCTCCTGATGAAATCTGTACAGAAAAAGGAGCCTATTGCTGTAGGTGTGGGAAGGAGACAGAATTTGGAACGGTTACATCATTCAGAATAAAGCTGAAGGCTGAAAATATTTACGAGAATGATATCCTATCTTTGTGTTTAAATAAAGAGCTGTGTGGAAATTACAGTTACAGAACGTCATAAAACTTCACAGTATAAAAATCATATAACTAGCAAATATGAAAAGGACGAGTCTGTATGAAGGAAATAGAATGCTCATTTTCTCATCTCGCTTGGCAGGGAGTAAGTCAACGCTGAATATCAGAACTGTATATTATTGAAACAATAAAGATTTCAATCTCTTAATTATTTTTATTTTAATTTTCATTAGTTTACAGGGATCTCTTAGGAAACAGTGTCTCTCATGTAGTAAAAGAAAATCTGAATACTAGAAATAACGTCCACTACTTGCAGTTTAAAAAAATTCTCTTAAATTCAAGTAAACATAGGTACTATTTATGTAAAACGCCATTTATGTGTAAAATAATCCCACTTACTCCACATATCTGCATGGAAAGCGGACTGAAAGATGGCTACCTAAAATTAACAACAGTTAGTTTTGGGTGGTGGGATTCTAGTGATAAATTCTTTTTGATTTGCACTTTGGTCTAGTTAAGTTCACTAGAAGAGGTTACTTTAGAGTCTGAAAAACTTTGTGATTCCTTTTCGTAGTGGTCCCAGCCTTCCTTCAGTTCTTTATTTTTTAGTTGAACAGTTCAGGATACCAGGAGTTTAGCTGCCATTTTATTCCCACCAAGAGGCAAATCTAAGCAAGGTCCAGACAGCCTCACTCTCCCTCCCCGCCCTCTGACTGAAGGTGGGCTTCTTCAATAGCCAGGCAGCTTTGGGCTCCAAACCAGTGTTGCTTTTTTGGTGGTAAGGGCCACAGGGCAGAAGGGGTGCCTGTGCTTTGCAACCAGCTTCTCTAACATCTGACAGATTGCCAATCCAAAGAAGAGTTGCTGACCTCTTTAAACACTTAGGGCAGAAATTATCAGCCTAAGAGAACCTTCAGTCACAGCTCTCGTTTTATTTAGGGCTCAGAAAGCTTTTATTAATACACTTACAAAGCAGTAGCCTGACATTCAGACAAAGAGGATGTCAGGAAATTTGCAAACATTATATAGTCTCCCCCTGTTGCAGATCTATAACCTATGCAGGAATGTGTCAAGCAAGTGACATTCTGCCTATTATCAAAAGAAGCTGGAGCACTTCTGTCTACTGTATCTTAGTATCAGAGTCACCAAAGAAAACTCAAAAGTCAGGCACTGGATGGACCCATGCTTTACTCACGTAGCGAAGAGACAGAGCAAGATCAGCCTCAGTAGTGGGTATGGGTTCCCCACAGCCAGAGGGCCCCTCCTGGGCTGTCTGCTGTCTATCTAGCAGCGGGCAGATAGAGTAGTGAGGTTGACCAGGCACCAGATGACGCACACGCTTAAACAGAACAAAAGCGTACACGCTGAGTCTGAAGCAGGGAGTGCTATCCCCACACACGGTAGCAAGTCAGCACAGGCTGTAAGGACTTTAGAAAGAGTCCTCTTGGTAAAGAAGTGTCCAGGCCCGGACGCATTCATACATGGCCAAGAGGGGATCTAAAGAATGTATGTGAAACTGCCTTTCCCAAGGGAGGCAACGTGTGGGTGTGTTGCTTAAGAGCAAGACAAAAATTATGCTGTTGATGCACCTTGGTTTCCGTAAGGGGGAAAAATGTCATATGGAAATTTCGTAGAAATTGAGGCCTATATACAACTTTGCCGAGGGCTTCCCATAACATGAGGATTATTCTTTTTTTTTTAATGTAGTTTATGTCCTAGAAACAAAGATATTTGATATTTGAGTTTTTGAGAGTTGTAAGTGTGGCGTTGCAAATTCATGTTGTACTCTAAGAGTAAAGACACTATTACAACCTCAAGTGGATATTTTAAGGCGAGTGAGAATTATCTCTTAAACTTATTATGGGGCTGGCATAGTGTCTATGTTTTCATTATCTCTGTCTCACTATCCAAGAAAGTTAGGAGACTGCTTTCTATTACAGGTATTAAAAAATAAAATTGGGAATTAAGTCATATGGTTTTCTCAATTTTGCTTCTTAGAATATGGCTGCATATCAGAATCAGAAAATCAAATCCAACCACAATCAGCATTGAAAGTGAGTCTGTATTTCATTTTATTATCTCCAAAATCCTGGGTAAAGGCTGATCTTTTTCAGAATAAATAGTCCCTAAATGCATAAATGGGTTCTTCCACTTTCTTTTCTTTTTCTTTTTTTTTTTCAGACGGAGTTGCCCAGGCTGGAGTGCAATGGCGCAATCTCAGCTCACCGCAACCTCCGCCTCCTGGGTTCAGGCAATTCTCCTGCCTCAGCCTCCTGAGTAGCTGGGATTATAGGCACGCACCACCATGCCCAGCTGATTTTTTTTTTTGTATTTTTAGTAGAGACGGGGTTTCACCATGTTGACCAGGATGGTCTCGATCTCTTGACCTCGTGATCCACCCGCCTCAGCCTCCCAAAATGCTGGGATTACAGGCGTGAGCCACCGTGCCAGGCCTCACTTTATTCTCACAAAGATCTTCAGGAAAGCACATTGGGGAGTTAGAAAAATGACTAAAGATGTGAACCACCTGACCCTCATGGGATCCTTTCAAGTAATAGGCAACTTTGGGAGACATGAAATCATAACAATTCAAGAATATGTTTACCCACCTAAAAATATTCAATTTAATGCTTCACTTTTGTATAGGTCCTTCAGCATCAGTTGGAATCATTTCAGGCTTTGAGAATGCAGACTTTGCAGAATGTTAGCATGGTACGTTTCTTTTAATCTACATATGAAATATCTAACCTAGAAGTATCATCTCATCTTCTAAGCTGATGGTCACTAGCCAATGGATTAGCTGACTCAGAATTTAACATAATAGAGGGCACAATATATTCTAGGCTCAAAATTTATTTTAAGGAAACTACATGCTTCTCTCTGTTACACTTGTGTTTGCAAACAAGCCAAAAGACATAGTACTTGTTGATTTTTTAAATACACATTTAGAGTCTATATACAGATTACAAATAGGGACCCTCATGACAAGTGACATAAAATCTAATTCAAACTGGCTTAGAGAAAAAATAACTTTAACAGCTCAAGCAAATGACAGTCCTGGAAAGAGCTCACTTCAGGACGGCTGAGTCCCCGTGATCAGGTCTTGAGTTGCCGGAACAGGTCTCTATCCTGATTCTGCTTCCCACAGTAGGGGATTCTCAGACTTCCTGTGGTGGCAGAAGATCTGCTAGAAGCTCCAGTTCTTTCTCCTTCCAAATTCAAGTCAAAGAAGAAAGTACACTTTGCTTGGAGATGGAGTCTCACTTTTGTCACCCAGGCTGGAATGCAGTGGTGGGATCTTGGCTCACTGCAACCTCTGCCTCCTGGGTTCAAGCAATGCTCCTGCCTCAGCCTCCTGTGTAGCTGGGATTACAGGTGCTCGCCACAATGCCTAGCTAATTTTTGTGTTTTTAGTAGAGACAGGGTTTTACCACATTGGCCAGACTGGTCTTGAACTCCCAACTTTAAGTGATCTGCCCACCTCGGCCTCCCAAAGCGCTGGGATTATAGGCGTGAGCCACCGCACCCAGCTACACTTTGCTCTTAATAGTTTAGACTGAGGTTCCCGGCCTGATTCAGATTGTCCCCCACTGGGTCACATGCAGTGCTTGAACCAATCACTGTCAGGTAGCTGCTGTTTCTTGACTGGTTAGCACTCGGTTGGGTGGCCCTGGGAGTTAGAGGCAGAATCAATACTATTATAAGCACGCTTCATCCAGAAGAAATAAGAAGTATAAACAGAAGGCCAGAGTGTGGATATTGGGGGTACATAACACACACGTATTCTCTAAAGACCCAATATAAACTTCATCCCAATGTTTTTTCACTAAAAGCACCTGCAAGGAAATGAGAAGGGGAGGTAACTCCTAAGGGTGACAGAATAGATTCCAAAGGTCTCTTATTAAACAATGAAAAAATCAGACATCTCAAATCATTTGAATATAGTTCATAAAACTTTGTTTTACTAGGCCGGGAGCGGTGGCTCACGCCTGTAATCCCAGCACGTTGGGAGGCTGAGGCAGGCGGAATGCCTGAGCTCAGGAGTTCGTGACCAGCCTGGGCAACACGGTGAAACCCCATCTCTACTAAAATACAAAAAATTAGCCAGGCATGGCAGCTTGAGCCTGTACTCCCAGCTGCTTGGGAGGCTGAGGCAGGAGAATTGCCTGAACCCAGGAGGCGGAAGTTGCAGTGAGCTGAGATTGCACTACTGAACTCCAGTCTGGGAGACAGAGAGAAACTCCATCTCAAGCAAAAATAAATAAATAAAAACTTTGTTTTACTAAATTGTTTCTGATTTTATAACAATAAATGCATAATTTTCTTGAAGATTGATAGAGATTACAATAAATTAAGTAGCTTTTATTTCCATGCGACGGGAAAGAATTTTTATGGGCAGGAAATTTAAATTATATTTTAATTACATGTCTATTTTAATTACAATGTCTTTTAATTACAATGTCTATTATTACAATGTCTATTATTTAATCTTTTAATTACAATGTCTATTATTCCTGTACGTTCAGAAGTTTACAAATCTGAAATCAAAATTTTCTCAATTTATCTTTTAAAGGTACAGTCGGAAATCAGTGAAATATTGAATAAAAGTATTATTGAAGTAGAAAACCCACAGTTCAGCTCAGAAAAAAATCTAGTGTTTGGCACGCACATCGAAAAGGATTTGGTATGTCATTCTGCAGAAATGATTTCTATATGTAGGTACTGCAAAATGTGGCTACCGTCAGTTTGTCTGCACTTTACATGATCCCCCTTTTTACAGGAAAATGGACCATCAGAGATGAAAATAAGGAAACCCCAGTCCTGAAAACCTTAAAAGATGTGTGTTTACCTTTGTACTTTTGCAATTTTCCCATTTGCCTTAAGAGTCTGTGCAGGACGTTTGACACTTGTTCAGATCCTGAAAGATTCCCAAGTAAATTCAAATACTAGGCAGTTTTTATAGCCAATCTATTCACTTAGGATTGACCTAGGTGTGAGGTAAATTCCCTAGAAAAGCTCCAAACCAGAGTTACCATCTCTGTGTCCACAGATTCAAATTCACACTTCCAGGATAGTCACAGTCCTAAAATCATCTGAAACTAGGAATTGCCCAGAATTGGAAACATTCGTTTTCCCAAAACTCCCATTTGACCTATTGGTTCTATCTTCCCCACCTACTTCTGATGGCCTCTTGAAGGATGCTAAATTTCTATACTTCTGAAATTGAGGGAATGGCCCATGTATTTCACCCCTAAGGAAATAAGAGCAAGTTCTAAGCAAATTGTGAAGACCAGAGTTACAGACCTCAAAACAACTGTTGAAGAAAATCAGTCATACTCGTTACGCTCCTTTGCTGTGGAAACAAATAAAATGCTTGTTTAGGGTATATAAATAAATCCTCCGCAAAATATTATCTGTACTGCTTGGTCATGTGGCAAATGACAATACATTTATAGTGTACTTCTTACTGTTACAGCCTATAGAGAATCAAGAAGAAAACCTGTCTATGGAGAAAAGTCCTCACTTCGAGGATTCCAAGACACTTCATTCAATAGAAGAAAAATTAAGTGGTGATAGTGTGAGCAGTCTCTCTCAAAGTATAGATGTTCCATCCCAGAGACATTTCGAGGACACATTAACTCTGAGAACTTCAACAGACAATTTATCTTCAAACATGATTATACACCCTTCAGAAAATTCTGACATCTTGAAGAATTATAATAACCTTTATCGTTTTCTACCTACTGTACCTAAAAATGGGATGTCTCAAGCTGATAGAGTAACACTGGATAAATCCAAAATTACTGCGCCTTTTCTCAAACATGGATTTTGTGAAAATTTAGATGACATTTGCCATTCTATCAAACACATGAAAGAAGAGCTTCAAAAGTCACATGACAGGGAAGTGGCACTTACAGATGAACTTCAGATTTTAAAAACTGATCCACATGTTCAAAGTAGCGGTAAATACAACCTGTCACCTCTTCACCAGGAAAAAATTGGCTTTATTAAGGAAGAAAACGTGGATGGGAATTTAAATGAAGATACAAAATCAAAGAGAATTTCAGAATTAGAGGCATTAATAAACAAATTACTCCCACTCAGGGAAACAGTGTCAAAATTCCATGTGAATTTTTGTAGAAAATGTAAAAAATTATCTAAGAGTGAAATACACAGGGGAAAGAAAAATGAGAAAAACAATAAAGAAATTCCCATCACTGGCAAGAATGTCACAGATTTAAAATTCCATTCCAGAGTTCCAAGATACACACTGTCATTCCTCGACCAAACAAAACATGAAATGAAAGACAAAGAAACACAACCATTTCTAGTAAAACAAGGATCAATAATATTTCAAAATGAGAAAACTTCCAAAGTTAATTCTGTTACTGAGCAGTGTGTTGCAAAAATTCAGTACTTACAGAATTACCTGAAAGAATCTGTGCAGATACAGAAAAAAGTAACAGAACTGGAGAATGAAAATCTAAACCTTAAGTCCAAAATGAAACCTCTTATCTTTACCACACAATCTCTCATACAGAAAGTTGAAACATATGAAAAGCAACTTAAGAATCTGGTTGAAGAAAAGAGTACTCTTCAGTCTAAATTAATTAAAACAGAAGAAGACAGCAAAGAGTGTCTTAAAGAATTAAAAAAAATAATTAGTAAATATAATGTTCTCCAAGGCCAAAAAAAAACCCTAGAAGAACAAAATATACAACTTTCTTTAGAGAAGCAACAAATGATCGAAGCATTAGATCAACTAAAAAGTAAGGAACACAAAACTCAAAGTGATATGGCCATTGTCAATAAGGAAAATAATCGAATGAGTATAGAAATGGAAGCAATGAAAACCAATATTCTGTTGATACGAGATGAAAAAGAAATGTTGGACAAAAAAACACACCAGCTTCTAAAAGAAAAAAGCTCACTCGAAAACAAACTAAAAGAAAACCAGCTAGAGATGATGCAGCTAAAAGAGAAAGAAAGATTGGCCAAAACGGAGCAAGAGACACTTCTTCAAATAATAGAAACCGTTAAAGATGAAAAACTTCACCTTGAAACAGCATTACAAGAATCTACTGCTGCCAGACAAATTATGGAAAGAGAAATTGAGACGATTCAAACCTACCAATCTACTGCAGAGGAGAATTTTCTGCAAGAAATAAAAACTGCAAAATCAGAAGCAAGTATTTATAAGAATAGCTTGTCAGAAATTGGCAAGGAATGTGAAATGTTATCAAAAATGGTAATGGAAATGAAAACGGATAATCAGATTCTAAAAGAAGAACTAAAGAAACATAGCCAAGAAAATATAAAATTTGAAAACAGCATCAGTAGACTTACCGAAGACAAAATACTTTTAGAAAATTATGTAAGAAGCATAGAAAATGAAAGGGATACTTTGGAATTTGAGATGCGGAATCTTCAACGAGGCTATTTAAGTTTAAGTGATAAAATGTGTAGTCAGCATAATGGCCCTTCAAAAACAACTTATATTTCAAGAAGAGAGAAATTCCATTTTGACAACTATACTCATGAAGACACTTCCAGTCCTCGGAGCAGGCCATTGGCTCCAGATCTGAAAGGTATACGAGTCCTGGTAGGTCAGTAGAGATGTATTTCAGATTCTTTTAGCCTGTTGGGCACTAGACAGAATACAGACATAAGGAGGAAACTTTAAGATGAATACAACTTTGTTTTGTAAAAATCATATCCAATTTACTATACAGTGAAATTATTTAAGGATTTTTTTCTAGATAAAATGTATATTCTTTGATTTACATTAATTATGTACATTGTATCTGCACTAAGCAACTTTGGCAGCCAGCAAGAGGGAGTTAATTGTTACTCTAAAGTGTGAGCAGCACTTCAGGACTCCTAAAGTATAGCACTACTTATGCTCTAAAGCATAAAAAGTTCATTCGTAAGTGCCACTGCCCTATCATGTGACTTGTGAAGCTCTTCTTTGGTGTGTTTGATACACTGGCAAATGTCATCTAAGTAGAATTCTTCTTTTTTTTCTAGGAATTCCAAGTAAACTGTATCAATTGCTTCCATCCAAGATATATAAATAAACTGCTCAAATCAATGTTTCAAAAACCTTTGTCCAAGTACTTTTTCCCCCCACAAAATAATTTTAAATTATATGATCACATTAACCTGGTAATTGATTAGGCTAGTTGTTAAAATTAGAAATTGGAATTAGGTATATATTTTATATTGTCAAGAACAGTGGAGAATCTGAGATTTTCCCCAACTAGTAAGCTAATGTTTTCGCGTGCTACAGTTTTGTGGGTTCTAGTGGAAGGCACAGGACTCCTGAGTGAGCGATAAAGGAGAGCGTTACAACAGCAGGAGCCAGAGCATCAGCATGTTTGCATTGGTTCTTCAAGCTCTAATTTCCATAGGTAGCAAAAAGAGGACCACACAGTGGGTTGCATTACAGGAGAAAATGAGCTTCGAGAACCAAATATAATGCATAGTAAGCATGCCTGCCCTTTGCTGTAGATGGAAAGGTTACACTGGACAATGAGCATGCCTGTCCCAGCCCCAGAGGAAACACAATTTCTAGCTTCCAAGGTTGCAAGCACACCTGTCCTGTACTCCAGAGACACTCTACTTCTTTTTTTTTTTTTGAGACAGAGTTTCGCTCTTGTTACCCAGGCTGTAGTGCAATGGCGCGATCTCGGCTCACCGCAACCTCCGCCTCCTGGGTTCAGGCAATTCTCCTGCCTCAGCCTCCTGAGTAGCTGGGATTACAGGCACGCACCACCATGCCCAGCTAATTTTTTGTATTTTTAGTGGAGACGGGGTTTCACCATGTTGACCAGGATGGTCTCGATCCCTTGACCTCGTGATCCACCCGCCTCGGCCTCCCAAAGTGCTGGGATTACGGGCTTGAGCCACCGCGCCCGGCCAAGACACTCTACTTCTAAGACTGCTTGGAAAATATTCCTTGTTGAGTTTTGTCAAATGCTTTTTCTACGTTTATTGAGGTGATCATGTTTTTCTCCTGTAATCTGTTAATATGGTAAATTATGTTAATTTTGAAACCTTAACCTTGAGTTCCTGGGATAAACTCCGCTAGGTCATGTTGTGTTATTCTTTTAATATACATTCCTGGTTTCAATTTGATAACATCTTATTAAGGATTTTGCTTCTATATTCAGATTATTATCTGTATTATTTTCATGTAATCTCTTTGTCTGGCTTTGGTATCAGGAAAATCCTGTTGGGAAGTGTTTCCCCCTCTTCTATTTTCTGAATTTGTGTAGGATTGGTATTATTAGTATTATTCCTTCCTTAAATATTTAAATATGTAATACTCATAAATATTTGTAAAATATGTAATATGAAAATACCAGAGGGCCTGGATTTCTCTAAATTGGAAGGTTTCACGTTGCTACATGATTTCTATTAATATAGAACTATTCAGATTTTCTATTTCTTGAGTTAGAGTTGATAATTTTTATGTTCTGAGGAATTTGTACATTTCATGTAAGTTCTCAAATGTATTGTCTTAAAGTTGTTCATAATATTCCTTATTAGCGTTTTAATGACCAAAGGACTTATGGCAATGTCTCCTCTTTAATTTCTGACATTGGTAATTTAGGGGTTCTTTTTTCTTTATCATTCTTGCTAGAGTTTTACCAATTGTATTGTTCTTTGAAAAAATCAGCTTATTATTGATTTTTCCCGCTGCTTTGTTTTTTATTCCATCAATCTCTGTTCCCACTTAATAATCTCATTCCTTTGGTTTACCTGGGCTAATTGGCCCCTTCCCTAGTTTTGTGCCACATTAAATGCATCACAGAGTCCGGTATGTTTTCATTTCCATTCAGTTCAAAATATTTTCTTTTTCACTTGTGCTTTATACTTTGGCCCAATGAAATAGAAGTGAGTTGCTCGATTTCTAAATATTTGGAGATTTTCGGTTATATTTCTTTTATTGATTTCTAATTTAATTCTGTCGTGATCAGAGAACACACTGAGACTGGGTTCCGGGATCCGGGGAGGCTCAGCTTGCTCCCCGGTGGGCAGTGTTCTTCCAGGCTGTTGGTCCCTCACTCACCCAAGAATGGGAGAGGTGACCACAACGGTCGCGGTGAGTGATTAGGTAAATATCAGACCCCAAAGAGTTTTGTAGAAAGTGATTTATTTAGGCAGAGAGAGAAAAAGGAGAAAGTAATAGAAAAGAGAAAGAGCAGCTTCCATGAGGTTGTGCAAGGGGATCCAGACATGGAGTCTGCCAGGGAAGGGGACTTTTAACTTGGGAGGAATTCCCACCCCATTCAAATTTTTCGTCCTATGAAAGGAGTTCCTTTAAGCTTCCACTGGAGTGATTGACCTTTGATTTTTTTCCCACGCATGAAAGTTTAAACAAAGGCCTCTAAGTTCCCAGATTGGGGGGAGTGACAAGTTATGGCACTGGGAAGTTCTTGCTTTGAAACTATGCCCCTTTGTGGACCCGGGAGGAAAATACATTCCCTCAATATTCAATATAATCTTTTAAAATTTATGGAGACTTGTATTATTGCCCAGAATATGGTCTTTGTTGATGTGTCAGGTGAACTGGAGTGTTCTCTAAAGGTTGACAAGATTGAGCCAATCTGTATCTGTACTGATCGTGTGTCTGCTTGTTCTGACAGTTACTGACAGAGGAATAGCAAAGTTGATTTGTTCATTCTATAAATTTCTGTAAAGTGTTTTAAAGCTATTTTATTTTATTTATTTATTTTGAGACAGAGTCTCACTGTTGTCAGCCCGGGCTGGAATGCAATGGCAAGATCTATGCTCACTGCAACCTCTGCCTCCCAGTTTCCAGCAATTCTCCTGCCTCAGCCTCCCGAGTAGCTGAGATTACAGGTGCCCACCACCACTCCCTGCTAATTTTTGTATTTTTAGTAGAGATGTGATTTCACCATGTTGGCGAGGCTGGTCTTGAACCCCTGATCTCAGGTGATCCACCTGCCTCAGCCTCCCAAAGTTCTGGGATTATAGGCATGAGCCACTACACCAGGACAACGCTCTTTTATGTATGCATACACATTTAGCACTATTATGTCTGGTTGGTAAACTGATACCTTTATTATTATGAAATAACCCTCATTATCCCTAGGGGTATTCTTTGTTCTAAGGTCTCTGATATTAATATATTCCCTTTAGATTGGTGTTTAGATTGATATTTGCATAGTATATATCTTTTTGCATCCTTTTGCATTTACTTTTTAATAATGAATCAGTAGGAGAAACTCTGAATAGTTAAATAATAAATATATACCATGAAAATGGACTACTCAATCCTGAAAATCAAATATAAATCAAATAATTCAAGTATTGAGAAAATAACTAATGGTGAGACTATATCCATTTAAATACAAAACGAAGATTAAAGAACTGAGAATTACGGTTACAAAATAGAATTCTATTGTTAAAAAACATTGGCAATAAAAAACAAACAATATAAAAAGTCAGGCGCATGGATCTTTGTCTATTTTGTTGACTGCTGAATCGCAGTGCCCAGAGCCACGCCTGGAATACAGTAAACACTCAATATGTGTTAAGTGAATGATGAATGAGCATGCTGCCATTTCACTAGAATATTAGGCATAGGCTGGGATTCCCTTTGTACAAATATTGTGAAGAGTTTTTTTTTTTTTTTTTTTTTTTTTTAGGGGGGGTTTTCCCTATTTTTCCCGGGGGGGGGGGGATGGGGGTCTTCGGGGACCCCCGTCTCTCCCTCCCGGGGTCAGGGAATTTTT